TCAAATGTTAATATAATTTCTTAATATTAAAATCATTGTTAAACAAAAAGGAATAAGTCTGAAATTAACAGCAGGATTACTCCACAATATTTACCATTTTCCATCAACCGGCGGCAGCAGTAAATATTTTGCCTAAACTTACCTTAATTATAAAAACTAAAAGAAAAAAAGACATAAATATACGTACCATTAGATTTTATTGTTAGGTTTATAAAGGAAATTGAATGCACAAATATATTTTACTTAAATCAATAAAAAAAAAAAATTTGTATAAGTTAGCGTTTGTAAAATAAATGGTCGATATTAGGAGCTACAAAATGGGACTTTAAATTTTGTATATTTATATATGTATACTAATTTATCAAATAAATCAGCGCATTCTATAAGTATTTGTTTCATGAACATCTGAAAGTTCACCTTTAAAATTAACATCAATTACAAAATCCAAATCTCGATTGTTTCGTTGATTTGGTTTCATTTTAAATGTACCAGTGATTTCTTCACCTTTCTTAACTGTCATGTAGTCATCGAGATAAAATACAGTTTGTTTCCAATGTGTATACGTAGCATCTGGTGATGTACTAAAACCAAGACGTTTATGAGACTTCGTAAATTCAATATTAAAATACGTAACCAACGCTTGAACAAAATCATTACGCTTTATGGTTAAATTAAATGGCGTTGAAAACTCCAAATCCGACTTCTTTACTGTATATAAGTCAACTTCTTTTACTAAATTTGAATTTGACACTACTTGTTTTGGATCAACAACATCCACAAGCGGCTCAGTTACAGCAACTTTACGAATACAACTCATATCAAATCCATACACATTATCCCACCAATTGATTTTATCATCCTTGTATTGACGGTCTTCAATTGCTGTAATGTACAGCGTTCCACGGTCAGGAAACATCATGCCATCAGGTTTCAGCCACTTATCCCTAGCATACAATACGGTATCCAGCATTGATTCATAGAAAAGGCAATACCTGGAACAAAATTTTTATGTTAAACATATATTGCAAACTCCATCTAATTTTAACTACATTAAAAAAAAGAGTAGTAACGGCAAATTTTTCAGTTACAAAGCTATAAAAGTATTTTGTATATGTATTGTCATTACGTTGAAAAAGCCGTTTGATTCAAATGCAATAATAGATCTGAACGTGTACTACGGATAAAAATATATAGTTTATGTTTAGGAAATTAAAGAGGAAAAATATTACAATTGATTATAGTATAAAATCACATTTGGGTTGGACCAAATTAGGAAATAGTTTGGATGGCACTTAAAGACTTTCTTTGTCAATTTTAACATAACTAGTAAAACCAAATATGTTATTTTATTTTTAAATAATATAAAAAGTAATGATAAACATAAGCGAACTAATTCTTATAACTAAGTAGTATTAAATTTACAGTTATATAAATTATATTTTTTCTATTTGTAAACTTACCCCATCCACTCTGAGATGATAATATCAACTTCTTTGATACCTAAAGGTAAATCAACTTCTTCTATTTTCCCTTTAACAACATGAATTATCCCTTCAAGATTGTTATCAATAACAACTTGTCTGGCGTATTCAACAATATTTGAACAGTCTACTGCAATAACTTTTGCTGCTCCTGCTTTAGCTGCAAACATTGACAATATACCTGTTCCACAGCCAACGTCTAACACAACCTGAAAAATTTAACAAAAAAAAACTCTGAAATAATTGCTTATTTATTGAATATAATATTTTACTTTATCTCTGAAAAGATGTTTGTTGTGATACATAGCATTACGGTATGTGATAGTCCTCACTTCATCCTTCAACATTTCTTCATGAATCCCAAAATGCGCATAAGAGTCGAAGTAATAATCTCTAGATGTCATCTCGTCAGCAGATGCTGGTGTCGTGGGAGAATCT